CTCTCTCCTGACCTGCACCAAGCAAGCTCCATCCGCCCATGAGCATACAGTATACTTGAGATGCTTTGAAGAATGGTTACTGTATTTTTTTTTTCTTCTTCATATTTCTGTGTTTTCTTTTCCTTACATCATATTCTGTAATTTATATACATATATATTTATTACAGACAATGCTGCCGTTTGTATGAAGGTAAGGGAATGTTTATACACGTGACATGATATATACGTTATACGTTATTTGGTTGATATACTCGGTGAAAGTTTCAAGAACTGGTCAAATATTTGACCATTCAAAACTAATTTATACCAGTAATTAATTAATAAGAAATTAAGTTACATGAACCCTGCCAGTTTCTGCCAACTCTTCCACTGAATCTTATTTTTGTTTCGTTGCTTCTTGTTGTAGAAATGTCGAATGAAGAACTCTGTAAATGGAGAGCACGATACCTAGGATTTAAGTCCTCTGTAAATGTTTCGGATTCAGAAGACTGTGGTAAAGTACTCACGATCGAATTACACCGAGTATCGAGTAGAGATTCTGATGAAAAATTAAGCTCACTACAGTTTAGAGAGAAAGAAAAGCTAATTTAGCTGGCCAATAGAAAATGATTGATGCAAATGAATCAATATAATCATTCTGAGATTGTTATAACATGTTGTGATCCTGGCTGCACCTGCACCAAATTTGATTCTGGAGACACTGCAGCATCCGTGTTCTTGAACCCAGCCAAGTCGGCTAAATCGTAGACAGCTTCTGCAACTTTCTGGGTACATTCTACAACATCAAAGAGAAGTGAAGCAACTGCAGCCACTGTTACCATCTCTAATATATCAGCATTTTCCAGTTTTGTCATTCTCAGTTGAACCTTCAATTCTTCCCCTGCCGTTTTCGAGCTTATAATATACAGATCGGCTGATCTTGATCGTCTCATCTTTCTTGTCGTCGAGCCTAATTCCTTCAAGGCTTTCCCAGTTCCTTTGCCGATCTTTGTGCATGATTCTTGAACTCTTCTCTTCATTTCTATGTTAGATGTCTGAAGAAATTTTTATGATTTGATTTAAAAATTTAAAGCGTTATTGTTTTCTAAAAATAATTTTATTATTATGTAAGAAGCATGTTATAATATTACATACACACAACACTTACACACAAATATATACTATGCCTTTATACACGTGTTAAACGTTCAATTCACAAATGTATACATACATACATACATACAAATTAATAAGTACGTGTCAATCCGTACATATATTTACCCGTATAGATCTATATATATATATATATATATATATTATCTTGTATCATATCAATATATCTGCATATATACATAATGTGTGTTTGTGTGTAAAAATAAAACTAAGTAAGAACAATATGTTTAATTTGTATATATACCTGGACTGTAGTGTTAGAGTTAAGATAGCAGTTAAGTGCTTCAATTTTGTATGCACATTCACGACTTAAAGACCCAATTTTAAGGTACTGTTTCCAGGGATGACGAAACCTGAACCGACCATGGCAAGGTTCCCATTTTGCTAAGTTAGCCTGCAAATTAAACTTCATTACAACATCAATATTATAAAATTATTATACTCAACTAATATAGATTTGATATAATATATATATATATATATGCACGCACACACATGTATGTTCATACCATTGTTTCTTCACTGTTTTTACAAGTAAGAATACTTCTGTAGTCTTGAAGAAATGACTTATCGTTGTTTGATTCGTCATTTTCTGATTCTTGGAAGTATTCTCCTCCGAATCCTGTATGTATTAATTGATCATTAAACTAAACTCTATAAATTATGTATAATAATATAAAGGACAAACATAGATTAAATCTTACTGTAAATATATTATAATAAATAATATATATATGTATATATATAGATACCTTCTAAGAAGTTTCCGAGTTTTTCCATGTTGTCAGCGATCAAATTGTGAAGATCCTGGCCGATCCAGACGGGGCAAATACACACACAGACAAGGATAGTTGTACAGCTACCCACCATTATTGTCATCAACCTCTCCTTCGCCATTTTCAGCACCTGAGAATCACGGTAACCTGATACACTCACCAAGCTGAACGTCAATATAAAAATCAGCAGCCCGTAATCGTATCTCGCCTTCATTGCTGGATAAAATCTTGCGAATGTCACTATTGCAGCTGCATGCAAATTATCCCGTTTTAGTTTTTCACCCAGATTAACCCCATGCATGCAGTCAAATACATATATGTATATGTACCTATAATGAAGACGAAGATTGCAATTAATACAGGTTCTCCTGATCTTCCTGTAAGTGTCGCTAAACGATGAGCTCCAGCACCCAAACCGCCGGCTAAAAGTGTTGCCATCATTCTGTTAAACCCTTTCCCCAATGTTGCTCCTGCATTAATGGCGGCCGCCGTGGATAGAGATAAAACCAATTAGGCTACGAGTTAATATTGAATTAGATAGATCAAACCCATTAAGCTTTCGAGAAATCCATGCTGACCCAAACAAGAGCTGGGACAGATTTATCAAACCCATTAAAGAGATTAAGAAAAAGATCTTAGTTACCAACAGAGAATTCGAAGACGACGACAACGGTCAAGACAGCCCACATTGCGTTAACACCAAATCCATCATAGAGCGGCTTAAAGTAGTAAAAGAGGGAGACGAGAGTGAGAGCTAAACCAACTTTAAAGGCATGAATAATTCTTCTGGGATCATCTCTTCCTATCTTCTTCGTCCTCTCCACCACTTTTTCAACCCATTGTCCTAGACCATGTGAAGCTGATCCTTCCATTGGCGTTTTAAGAACCGAAGAAAACGTTTCCCTGCTACAACTTTAGAAAGAAAGAGAGACCGACTAATCTATCTGTGTGCGTGTGGGGATAGTGGTAAGTGGAATGTAACACATATGTATATGTATATATATATATATATATATATATATGTACGTGGAAATTTGAAGTGAGGACAAATGTCTGAAAGGCACGTGATCCTTGGGCTTGGGGTCGTACACGTTTATGTCAGATAATTGTACCTTTGGGAGATGTAAGTATAGGTGTCATACAGTGACTAAAGAGACTCTTTTTCTGTGTTGGTTTTACATGAGGAGCATATGGTCAAACGTGACCAGCGACCATTCGCTCGGATTCCACATTCCAATTATGTTCATCAAATCCAACTCTTTTTCACTTTCTAATTTACATCTTTAAAAAGTATTTTTTATTTCTTTTTTAGATTGTATGTATTTATATGAAAAATATTTAGATATATATGAAATACTTCAAATACCATTAAAAGAAGATATATACTAACAAATATTTATGCACCAGTGAAAAGCATTCCGATAAATCTTTACATTTTTAAACTTTTAAAATAAATCAATTTACGTTCGATCTCTCAATAATTTTATCCCTTAAGCCTATGTATTTGCTAATAATTACTCTTATACGTTCACTCTCTTTCTCCTTCTTCTAAGAATTAATCAATTGGGATTTCTCCACTATGAACCCTAACCCTTCCTTACCAGTTCTCTACTCATACCGCTTCACCTTGATGTCTTCTTTGACTTTTAACATTCTCTGTTCCTCTTTGGTTGCTCCGTCGTATCCAGTAAACAATGCATCACCAAATCCCTTCGCAAGAACATCCTCAAATTATTAAAAGTCTCAATCACTTAAAGGGTTCTCCATATCTTCATTGAATCTCTAAAAAAAAAAAAACATGTTTTACTAGAGTCATATACAAACGTTTGTTGTGACTATCACCATTGGTAATCATAATATCTTTAGTAGTTTAGTAAAGACTGAGATCATACAAAATATGGTTGTTGTTAACGATCAATGAGAGGACTCTTGCACGAAATCGACATCACCGAAAGCATTTTGAGTTGAGTCAAAGGCTAGATCTCTTAAACACAATTCTAGTTTCTCTGAAAAATTAAAGAGAAATTGAGTAAAAGTAACTACGTTGGTGAACATGACAAACACTTTGTATACCAAGTTGACAAATTTTTCAAACTTCGATATCCATGCGAGTGCGTCGTCTGCAACGTAGGCATCAAGATAGTAAGTTATAACTGTTATCAGAAGCAAGAGTCAATATAGATAAAATTTGAAAACATAGGAGTTACTTAAACTGAAAAGAAAATTAGTATATGAGGTTATTTGAATATTTACATTAGTACGTAGGTGTTTTGAGTATACATTTCTTATTCAAAAAGTGTTTGTTATTCTTTATAAATATGAGTTCCGAATAGATACATGCAAGCTATAAATACTAAACATTGAAAGAAAGATCTTTAGACTTTTTCGTTTGAACTCTATCTTGTTCGAACGTCGGAATGATGACTAAAACAAAAACGAGAAACATGTCTTCGCATATTTTCAAAGACGCCATCCATCATCGATGAGTCTTACTCATCTTTAGAAATTTTGATCTATCAATGATTCATTTTTGCCATGGGTCAATATGGGTCAGTGTATAATTTTTTCAATCCAGTTGGTTTAACCATGGCTTTCATGGAATTACCAAAACTGATACTATTCTCAGCTCAAATGCCAGAAAAGATACTACACAGAAGCAAAAACACAGTGAAGAAGCCATTTATATAAGATCAGTTGGGTGAACAAGAAGTGAATGAACAGCACCCAACAGAAAATTTTCTAAATTTCATTTTCTGGGATCGACACCGAATACCCCTTCTCTTCCTCCAGCCAACTGCTTTTGAGAGAACCCATATATATATGGATTATAAAATGACAACGTTTCAGTCTTGGAAGATGCTGGATTGGGCTATTGCATGGGCCTGCTGAATAATCTGGGCTGGTTTCTGATTCCCTCAAATTCCCTCTCTCAACATTCAAATCGGGTTTCTCTGGTCATCTGGTCGTTCGTGCGTCCTCCAATCTGGTGTTTGCCACTTTACTTATCGTCTTCAATTTGCTGCTTCTATTGGGTTACTCAGGGTCTCTGAGTTATCAGGAAGATTCAACTCTCTTCTCGGCAGCTTGCTCTCCAAATTTCTGCAGGTCTTTATAACCGCTGGTTTTAAATTTGGTTACTCTGCGAACAGGTCTTCATCTGAGTATACAATTTGCAAATTTGATTTCTTTAAATTCAATCTGCACATAATTATTAGCCATGAAATGATAATATATGCTTCCGTACATTTCCTTTTGGGAAGAATATGCATTCCTAAAATTGCTTAAAATGGAATATTTGTTCTTCTCCTGCCATGTTGGCTTGAATTTACTGATAGATATGTGTATATTTATTTTCAGTGGATTTTTTTTTAGTTTAATATACATGCTCCCATGGACTTTGCTATGAGGTTAATGTTTATTTTTAGTTTCTAATTGATTTTTAATGTACTGTTATTTTTATTGACTCATAGCACTTTTGGGATTGGGATTAAAAATGATTTGTTAGGTTGAGTATTGAATCTTGTTTAGGGCAATTATATGAAATTTATAATAGTGTTGGAATTGCTTTTGGTGAATCTCTGATATGGCTATCATGATGATGCTACATATAATTTTAACTGGTAAATATATAGTTTTTTTCTTTTTTGTTAATAGTGATTATGTATACATATCTTGCATGACATGATGATATATTCTCCCTTTGATAAGTGAATCATGAAAATAATTAATTGTTCATTTGGTTGATTTTGCGAGTAATTCATTATCATATATGGTCTATTTAATGCTATGGATTATATACTAAACTACATCGAGAAAGAACGAAGAAGAGAGTGGGAGAAACATTTGCAAGACCAGGTTTAATAGTGAATAAATTTAGCAGGAGCTGTTGTGTCTGTCATAAAAAATGTATTTCTCTAGGTTTAGTGTGAACTCTAAAATTTAAGGAATTTGTTCTTTCTTAGCGGTTTAAAGTTAGGAACTTGGTTTTATCTTAGTCTTTATTGTGTAAGAATTTGATTCTACCTTTGCCATTTAAAGGGAGGAGTTGGTTCTACCGAAACCGTTAAAAGATATGGATTTATTGGTGTATCTTAATCATACTGTGTTTTTTATGTGTTATCCATCAAAAGGCGTCACGTATTAGTATAGTAGAGTGTTGAAACACACGAAGTAGAGATAGTTAAGGGTAGAGGATATAGGTCAGTTGGGAACTGAACCCTATCGACAATCATGAAGTTCATCTTTCTCTACTTTATGTTCAGTTTGCTTTATCTTAATTTGTTTATTTATCTTTTTGAAATTTTAAATTATATAATTTATGTAGATAACTATTCACCTCCTCTAGATGCTTGCTGTTTTTTTGCTTTTCTTTAACGGTGGTAGATGGAGGGAATGGGTCAAGAAGCAACTTTTAATGGGACGAGGCGATATGATTTGAAGAAATCCTTCAAGCTTGCAATTCGTTCTCTGCTTACTACCTGCTCTAGACAGGTAATTTCTCCAGCGACACAGACAGCAAACAAACACTGACCATGCCTCATACATCTTCCTAAAATGAAATGAGTGCTGTTAAATACAAAGAAGAACTGATAAAGAATGTTAATCGATTTGGTTAACATGTGGTTTTAATTTCTTCCTTGCTTGATAAAGGTCTCTAATGCACTATCATCTATTTTTTGTGGATTAACTCTTTAGTATGGTTGATAGGTGAATTTCATCCTTTCTATATTGGAAACGGAAACCATTTCCAGCGTTCATAGTTTGTCTTATTGCCAGTATTTGGATCTTTACAGCTTTTGAATCCTTTTATTATTTATCTGGGCCTTGTTTCTGGAGTTGCAAAATTATTTGGTTAATGCATGTGGTTGCTGGTGGGAATTTGGGAAATTCATATTAAGTGATATTTCAATAACGAATTTCTGCTGGAAGGCCTCATATTATCAATTGGCAAGTAAACACTTCGATTAGTTCTTAAAACAACTGATCCATTAAGTTAGGTGAATTTATGTTGTTTCTCTCTGGAAATAACCATTTCGTTTCTACAGTCTAGAGTTGCAGAGTTCGTATGGTTTTGCTCATGATTGGAACTAGGAAGCTAGAATGTTTCGATGATGTTTTAATTAAAAAATTTCACTTGAAGAACTAATGTATTCGGTTAGCATTTTAAATCTATCACTGGATATATACACACATGGTGGAAGAGAAATTAGAGAGGAGAAAGAGAAATTACATGATAGGAAGAAAAAGTATCCTCCTAGAGCCTGAAAATGAAAACAAGATAAACAAGCAAACTTAAATACAGGATAATCTCAAATTACTTTGCTAAGTAGCTAAAATGATCCTCATAAGAGATAAGCTTCTCAAAAACACCAATGAATGTGTCCCATAGCAATGTGGAGATTGAAAATGATCTTCAAGGACTCTGGTATCCATTATCAGCCACAAACTCACTTGCAAATCTGCTGGTAGAAAATAGCCTTGTATCAAATTTTCAGGAAAATACTATTGGTATAAGACAAGCAAATGTACCTTTTAATTAGCCAATTTGTAACGTGCATTCATAATTAGGCATGCAGAATTGAGTATTTGATGGAATCTTGGCTTTTTTCTTATCAGCAGTTCTAGATTTTTACTGCTCATGACGCTGCATAAAATATGTTTGGGAAGCTTCTTTTTGAATTGGAAAAATTTTTTACACCCAGTTTTGTACGTTATGAGAAATGTGGTTATCTAACATTGTATAGAGTTGCTGGAGTATAGATAACTCTGTTTCCTTGTCTAGGACCAAGTAACAAGAACACTAGTCTGTATAGAGAAGGTGAATAGTCATGAATGCTATGGAACCTTGATTTTAACATTTGTTTTGTAGAAATACTCCTGGTAGATTATCAAGCTTACCAAATCTGTTTCCATGTGTTTCTTAAGGAATTCAGCAAAGTGTTCTCGGAATTTACAAGTGCTGAGCAAGAATCTCTCTACCGATTATTTGTTCAGGTGTGGTATCACTAATTTTGGAAAAATGCTCCTCATGTTAGGAAAATTAGGTCTACTTATGTTGGAGAAATGCCAAATGAGAGGGAGAAAGACCACAAGAATTTTAACATGGTTCGATAATGTGCCTTCTCTAAGGGTAAAGGTTTTCACTGTTCAAGAACTGAATATCACAACCAGGTTTTTTTTCCCTTATATAATGGAAGGAAAATTCAAAATAACAATAATCCCTCATGACGAAAGTCCACCATAGGCGTAAAAGTAGTGTGCATGCCATGGGGAGCTTTGCCACCTGCATTTCCCAAAATTACCATGATGACATGCTTGGACAAGATGATTCATCATCTCTTTGTGGCTTCTTTTACCAGTACTCTTTTCTGGACAATCTCTGCCACAACAGAACATAAAGTCACTCTCCAGTCTAAGTGTTTCCTTCAGTTTTACTTAATGATTTCTTTGAACAGTTTCATTTTGGTCTCAGTTTTCTCACACTAGTTTTCTTCCTAATCTTATTGCACCTAATTATGGGAATTGCACATGCTATTATGATCTTCTTTTACTTTCCAGCACAAGGAACTTTATATTGTCATTACTTGATTCCTTCTAGTTGGCTACCTCACTAGTCTTCCAGAATTGTCAATTCATTCTTAAAGAAGATCCATCTCACTACCTTTTTAAAAGAAAAATTTTGAACTTCAATATAACTATCTCTGCTGTTCTATGTCAGGTCATTACTTCTTTGCATGAAAGTATAGAGGTACTTTCTTAACTTTTCTACAATTTGTTTGCTCGTTTTTATATGCTGTAGTTTGTTTGAGTTACAATTATTGACAGTGATAGAAACACATTCATGTGGTATAAAATGGAATATAGAGGGCCAAGAGAGATGGAACAGAATGGAATGACCATTTTACTCTTTTATGTAGTTGTGGTCGAGGACTATTATTTGAATAAAAGCCACTTTTCATGTTAGTGTGAATCTACTTGCAACAAATGCTACACATTATTTATTTATTTTCAAATCTTGAACATTAGTGCTGAAAATATGTCCAAATGAGCACTTAGGCTTGTCTTTGAATTGATGCTTTAATTCATGGTCTCATACAATTAGGGAATTGACATGGAAGGAATACTGAATGATTAGGATAAACTGATTCGAGGGAAAGCACTCATGTTTGACAAGATTCTCATCGAGTATAATGTTATAAGATTAAAACCATTGCTGGTATTTTTTGAAATNGGAGTGGAAACTCCATCTAGAGGAGCCAAAAACAATGGATGCACATTTTGAACTTTTATTCTTTAGGCGTTTTTCAAGAGATTTGGTCATTACCTCTGATGAACTGAGCAGTAGTGGGATAATTAGGAAGCAGATAGAGAGAAAATGAAGGGAGAAAGGGAGAGAAAACGAGAGAAAGGAAGAGAGCCGAGAGAGAAGAGTGGGAAGTTGAATCTGTTGAATTTGGATTCAAATGATTGTGTTTCTAATATTCTTACAGCCACGTAGTTGTACCATTGAATAGCAAGACTGACTTAGTTAACTGAAATAGCTATTACTAACTAACCTGGCCCCACCTATTTATTGATTTACACGAAGTATTTGAGATACAAATACTACAGCATCCCCACAGTCTAACTCTGCGCCTTTGATAGACCTTCAAAGGCTTGCTAGTACTGACAGCCTTGTATTCACCTAAGCATTTAGGTTATAGATTTCATATAAATGTATGGCTTTAATTTTTGAGTATTAGGTGCTGTGAACTAAGATCTTCCAAAAAATTTTTTATAGCTTTACTAGTTGAGAGTTTAATATTTTCTTTTGAATATTTCAGGATGAATTTGATTCATTATGCCTTGAAACACAGGTAATCCATGTACACTTATTATTTCTCCGTAATGTTTATCCTGTTCTACAATTGCCTTCTATATGTTTGCTTGGGCTCTTTTGCTTGTGCATTGGATTGCTCATATAATCCTTTCATTGAAAATGTCATACACAAGTTTTGAATAAAATAAGGAGTACTGAAACTATCCTTTTACCAATGATTTCTCTTTTATTGAATGAGGTTCTAGAAGCACTTGTAATCAAGTCAGCTTGCTAGAATGATCATCTGGGGAGATTTATTGAATTCTTGAATATCTCTCAATGGTTCTGTGCTATAGCTAAAGAAAAGGTTTAAAGAAATTACATCTGAAGAACTGG